TGAGATTGGATATATGTCGTGTGTTATATCGAATTTTTGTTTGAAGTCGATTTACTTCGATTTGTCTATATATTCGTTTATTTGTTCGTTCATGTTATTGTGGCTTGACGTGGATGATTGGAGCTTTCGTTTTCATAAAAACGAGTATAGTAGTGTTGTTATGAATATTTTGGTTTGTTGCGGAGTCTCAAAATCATTCTTCGAGTTGTCGTTTTACCGTTCGTTTGATTTGTTTATAGCATGATTATCATGATTTTCCAGCTTATGTTACACTATTATTATAACCCTCAGGGACTGTTATCTGAAAACGAGTCCTTCATAAGATATGTAGTTACTTTCTCTAGCTTTCTCTGGGCTTTAGAATCATGTGAATCCGATTTGAAACGAATTAGTTATGATTTTTACAAAATTATCGTGCAAGCAATTTTTAACAAAAGCTTGTAATATTTTATGTATGGCTTGTTTTCAATGTTTTTATGTGCTCAAATTGAGCAGTGATCTTTATGAAAATTGGTACCTTGCTTCATGGCTTTTCATAGGTTTTATATTCATGTTTTTTTGGAGTTTTGTAGCATGAGTTAGAGTCTAATAAATGAAGTGTTGTTCGTATCATGAAATTGGTTTTTGGCAGTGTTTATGAGTCGAATGTTTTGTGTTTAAACACAGATATAACATCATTATTTGTCAATAAGGTCTTCATCAAAGTTGTATATAATTGAGTTAGCTGCATTGTTGTTTTTGAATCAAGTCGTTTGGAGGTCTGTAGCTTAATTTATTCGATAAATACTGAGGCTCTACATGAATAATGTTCCAGTTTTTCTGACTGCATCTAGGTTAAAATATTTGTCTAGTTAACTCCTGCAAAATGCCCTTATTTGTTTCCAATGTCTTCATGAGAATTGTTGAGGCATGTCTTAGGATTCATATTCAACATGAGTCGTGCTTATTCGACTTATATGTTGCAAGTTGTGTTGTTTTCAAAATTGCTGCGCGGGTTTAGTTTCGAAAAACTTATGTTATGTTTTCGAAAATGGGAATTCTTTTAAAATATTTGCTTATGTGACTTATATGGGCTGAGTTTGTTTATGTGTTGATGGTGTAAACCTTCCGTGCCTTAATCATGATGATCTTGGTGTCGGATAGATGTTTACAAGCTATTTTAATAATCATAGGTGTTTGACGAGTCGTGTTCTCGGTCTTCGTACCCGATTTATGTGATTTCTCTATTCTCCTGAGACTAGGTGGGTTTTATTTAAATTGTCTATGCCATGAATGATAAATGTTTATATTTGTGGGTATGATCAATATATGCATGTGAACTTGTAACCTTCGATGTGAGTTGTACCGGTCGTCGAACGGTTATCCCCGTAGTTATAGAACGGACCCTGTTGGGGTAGTCTCCTTTGCGATGTATTACTTGTCTAAAGCACTAGGTGCTGACAGCGATGTATTACCATTCTAAAGCACTAGGTGCTGACAATTGAGCCTCCTACTGTTTGGGCATCGATGTAAGGCTCGAGCGAGAGCATTCGATATGTGTATCAATAGTTGGATTTACTCCTACTGGCTGGGCAGCGTTGTAAGGCTTGAGCGAAGGCATTCGATGCGTGTATCAGCAGTAGTCTATTGTTATAGGTGTGCACATGAGATATTTATGTACTTTGGATAGAAGATGGGATATTGAATGATTTATGTTCATACTGCGACCATGCCATTTACTTTTTTGTACTTTATTATTGGTGTGCATAGTAGTGAGCACTACGGTTTCGATTGTGCTCATCCTCACCTACAATTCATGGATGCAGGTTAAGCGGGTGTCAGATGACGAGGCAAAGACGAGTGGTGGTTGGTAGTTTGACCAGACATCATTTAGTGGCTTCCGCTTACATTTATGAACTTTGGATTATTGACGTTATGTATGAACACTGGTTTTAATTATGCATTGAAAACTAAAGATTTACGATTCATGACATTGGGTATTTATGATTTACGATTTACGAACTCTGGGATTTCGAAACCTTGGATTGGGAGATGTTCCCTTTTGAAAAGTTTGATGAACTTGGGATTTATGAAAATGTTAGTTGAACGTTGAATTATGATTTATGATACTTGCAAGTATGATATATGTGATGATAATTTATGAATTTATGATGAGTACGCCATTGATTTTACGAAAAGAATTTTGAAAGATTTAAGTTGAGTTTTGAAAAGTCGTTGACTTTTGTCATATAAAAGTGGGGCGTTACAGCATGAGTGTCGCATCTTGATGAAATGTTTGGTTATTTTGATTGACATTATCTACCTTATGAGGCTTGATCCATATTCGTTTCTTGTGAGGGTCTGAATTTTTTATTCAAATATAATTTGCCTTATGTCTGCTTTGAAATGAATTGACTGAATTTGTGAAATGTGAATATGATAAAGACATTCTTGTATTTTCATTCCATTTTTCTTCATCTGAAAATAACCCTCATTAGTCAACCCTTTTGAGCTTTGTTGATATTTTCCTTGGTAACCTCGTATGATGTCATTGAGGAATTGTGCATTGAAAAATGGAGGTGATGGTTGATGGAATTGTGAATATTTTTGTAAAAAAATAAATAAATAAATAAATAAATAAAATAGAAGCAGAATGAATTATACTCCAAGTGTTCCGACCACTAATGTTAGTGAAAAAGAGCAATGAGAATGTGAAACCGGTCTAAGAGACTCGAGCAGAAACCCGAAGGCTAAACCTAGATAAAATGTCCAAAAAGTTTTCCTAAAAAAAAAGAATAACTGTTGGGGAAGTGTGTTGGCTTTGGGAAAGTGGGATGGAACCGGTAGGTGTTTGAATACTGGAGGAGTTCATGATCACTGCTAGGTGATAGAGTTGAGTGGAACTGATATTTATTGAGCCACTTAGCTTATATTTATCCTACCTGATCCAAAGAGCCTACGTTACATCTCTAAAAGCCCTCTTTATTCACGAGTTCATGAATTTGATTGTTTTAGAGTAGGTGTTAGACGATAGAAAAACTTATGATTGATATGATTGACCACAAATTTGAGTTCATCCGTCTTCTATTTGTGGAAGAAACTGAGTGAGGCACATAAGATATTTTCGTACTCGAGAGTGTGTTCTTCGAAATAGCCAAGTTAATAGTTGAGGTGTGCTCTTGTGATCATTGGAATTCTTCTCGATTTGATTGATTGGTTTGAGATTAGTCATGCTTGAAACTGTTTTACTTGCTCGTTTCCTTGTTTTTTTTCTTTTCTATTCTTTTTTTCGGGACGAACAAAGGTTTTAGTATGGGGGAGTTATTTTTCCCATTTTTGTTGTTATTTTTGTTGGTATTTTGTGTGTCCTTTCCCCCGTTTTAGGTCGTCTTTCCGGTCCGTCTAGTCGTTTCTCGTATTTTTATCTTTACTTTGGTGTATTTGGTATTTTCTTTGTTTTCTTCCTATTTTCCTTGTTTTACGTGTTTTTTTCGATTGTGGTGGTTTTAGGTATTAGGTTAGACCGGTTGTTGAGCACAAATGAGAGAAGCAACTATCCGTTCCGGTTCTGTGGAATTCTGTATCGATTTGTATGACCCAAACACAAAGGAATCAAGTTCCCAACTCGGGCAGAACCCGAGAGGATGCTAGCCGAGACACTCGACTCAACCGGAGATCATTATATTGTCGAAGCACAAATGCTGCCCAGAACCTAGCGCCGCTAGGGTCCTCTGCCTCGCGCCGGTAAGGAGGCTAGCGGGCTTCTGAGGTCCGTCTATTCAGACCCTAGCCCCGCTAGCCTCCCCTAGTGCCGCTAGTGTCTGTTTCAGGGAAGCCGCGTTTTAATCAGAATTTTGAAAGGGGGATCAAAAGGGTCGAGCCTAGGGAATATTTTGGCATTCCAGACTTTCGTTTTTTTTTTTTTTTTCTCCCTAGCAAACATCTTTTCTCTTTGATTTTGATTTGGATTCGGCTATGGAGAGTAAAAACTCCTACTCTAGCCTTTGGATTGGATTGGACTCGTATGTGACATTTGGATTTCACATTATTCGTAAGTTCTTTTTTATCTCATTGAGTTTATGATGATGATGGCTTGGTGTTATGTGAATTTTTATGTTGATATCGAGATGAGTAGCTAAATCCGTTCGCTAGGGGTAGGGAGTGATTGTTAGGTTCGATTTCGATTATGTGCTTGTAAATTGTTCAATCTATGCGAGTTGTGTGAATTCTAGGGTTAGTTGATTGATCACCATTCTAACTTAGTTAATCGACTTTTAGAACCAAAAAGGGAGAAGTCGGTCATTTAGGCTCGTTTAGAATAGACTTGTTCGTAAATGTATTGTTTGTGTGTTGTTCAACTCGATAGTTGACCGTTCACGTTTATTCTCTTGTTACGAAGAGTTACTGAGAATAAACCTCTAGACGAGTAAGTTGTTCGAGTCTTTTAGCCGAGCAATTGATTGCCCGGTAATTGTATTAAGAATCAAAAATGATCATGCCCGACTCCCTAGCTCTTTATCATTAAGTGAATTTGTTTGCAATTTAAACCTTTGTCTTGCTTACTTTGAGAATCATTAGTTGATAATTGGAAACCCAAATTATTGAATTAGATTGTTTAGGATTTTTTTCCTTTTTTGTGATTGAATATTTTCACAATTTAATCTGGCTAACCATCCTTGAGATACGACCCCAAGGATTGAATCTTCTGATTTAACTCTGATAAAACTAACTACAACATGAGGGACGACTCATCCCATTCCATTTGATGCTCACTTCCAAGTTAGGGTTGAGCCACGATGAATTCAATTTTGTGTTCGGGTTCGATGATGTCTGGTTAACGAATATTTGGGATGCCGATGGTTGTGGCATTTTCCACCAAGTTTGCGCGACAAGGAAGGAGGAATCCAGTTCTAAAGGCTAGCGGTCGGGCTAGTACGATGTTGACCGGTCGGGCACGCGCGTATCTGGCTCGTGACTTGTTTCAGTCGACTCAAAATCCATACTTTCGAGTTCGACATCCTCGTTTCTAGGGCGGTTAAGGCACGAAGGAGTAAGGACGATGGCGTCTACAGTTGAGGCGGCAGCGAAAAGGGCACATAGGAGGGAGAGGACGACAAGGGTCTGGCTGAAAATCACATATTTGGGGCCAAAGCTTTTGATTGAAAATTTAACAAATTTTAGAATTTAATTGCAATTTCAAAAACTTATAAGTTATTGCAATTTGGTCCTTCCAAAGGTTAAGTTGTAAACTGCTTAAAATATGAATTAACTACAATATGGCCCTTTAGTTTTTTTTTCTTAATTATAAAATTAATGCATGTTTAGTTTATTTGTTATGCATAATAAGGGTAGGTAGCTCTATAAATTGTGTCATCTGATGGCTTCACAATAAAACTGGATTAATCTATAGGCAAAATCAATATTATTACTTGACCAACATTAAAATACATTTGTGACAAGCCAATAAACTCATAAACAAGTACATTTATAATAAACTTAGTACATTGATAATAAACTTAGTATAATAATAATAATAATAATAATAATAATAATAATAATAATAATAATAATAATAATAATAATAATAATAATAATAATAATAATAATAATAATAATAATAATAATAAGAGAGAGAAAGAACACCACAATGTTTTAAATATGAAAAAGATAACACACCACAATGTTTGCTTTCAGTTTGAAGACGCGTTTGAAGGATACAATGCATATTGAAGTTAAAAGCCAAATGAACGAGGTGAAATCACCAAGATGATGACATTCTTCCAACTGCCTTTTCCCAGAAATTAGAAGACAAATTAAATTCCTTCACATTGCTGGAAAAGAAGATTTCAGAACTGAGATTTGTCCAAGCTGTTAAAATATGGATGGTCCAGAGCAGCTTTCGCCGAAATCCGGTCAGCCGGATCATATTTCAGCATCTTCTGCATAACATAAGACAAAAATCACACAATATCTATATTATTCTACTCATTCAACTAGAAGACACAAATAATCAGATGGAAGTGCGAAAAGAAAAGATTCGGTTAATCATCTGAGCTAACCCTTAAAATGGAGCGTGAAGTTGAAAAAAAGAGCATTCAGAAAGTTGTATAACAGGCAAGTTGAATCACTAACAGAATAAAACAAAATGGAGATACCGATAAAAGGTCAACGCCATCTGGTCCCAATGATGGAACTGCACGGGTCAAGTTCTGAGGTTCCCACTGGGGATACACATGCCAATCCCTCAACGAGCTAACACCTGGCCACTCCTTCTCGGTTGGGGTTCCTAGCAACCTGCAGTGATACACAAGTTAAACTGACTTTTACTTTCAATTTTTAGTGGTTTACGAAAGCATAAATTCATATCCAGCATCTCTTTCCACATGACAGCAAACCCTTTTCTTCTATATCATAGCATTTTGTTTTCAGTTTTCCATTTTCTTTTTGTTTCTGTCAGTGCGCATGCAGCTATAATCCTCGAGTTTAGAACTAAAACAAAGAGCAGAAATTTTAAACCCAAAAAATCGGACTTATATGAAACAACTTATCAGTCTTTCAGAAGATGCAAATCACAATTATAGTTCATCTTCCAAATCTTGATATGATTCATGATGAGCTCGTTGTTCTATCACTGCTAAATCACTAGTCTTTATCAGTATATATAATTCTCTCCACCATCTTCTTTATAATGCATTTATATACAGGTGCAAAATATACACAAGGGTAAGGCATGTTCTTCCATGTCTTCAAATCATACTTAACTGTTCCCCTCAAACACAATCCGGATGTTCCAAGTTAATAAGGCACTCCACTGGCATAACAAGTTGCCACAACAAGAAGAAACATTTGTGTTTATGTTTAGTTGTCTTTATATAATCCAGTAACATTGTTCATTTTCAAAATGCAGGCTTACTGAAAACAAAAATATTCAAGACAGATAACTACATTTATCAAGAATACCAGTCATTCTTTTCATCACACAAGAAGCATCTTTCAAATCTAATTTTCTAAGGTAAAATTCAGCAAGCCAATTTTCCGAAGCAAAGACAAGTCGCATAAGCTACTGACTCGGAGCTGTAAATATATACAAGGAGCTCACCTAAAAATATGGAGCAGTTGCTGAAACTCAGAATCTCCGGGAAACAAAGCTTGCCGTCTAGCCATCTCAGCTGCAAGAGCTCAAGAACAGTGCCAATTTGGTCAGTTAATTTCATTTTCCACACACAAAGAAAGGATTTATAGCATCAATCAGTTCCTCACCAAAAATACAGCCAACAGACCACATATCAACAGCCGTAGAGTAATGAGTGGATCCAAGAAGGACCTCAGGCGCTCTGTACCATAGAGTCACAATCTGCACACGACAAAAATTCAGCCTCACTCAAAAAAAATAAATAAATAAATAAAGAAGGAAATCGAGAAAAAAAATACTTACAAAACAATACAGAGACGTACCTCATGCGTGTAGCTCTTGAGGGGTACAGTAAAAGCCCTTCCGAGGCCAAGATCTGCGATTTTGAGTATACCCTTGTCCTTGTCGAGGAGCAGATTTTGGGGCTTGAGATCGCGGTGGAGGACTCCATGGCTGTGGCAGTGGGCGACGCCCTTGCAGAGCTGGTAGAGGAAGCTCTGGAGCAACTGCGGGGGGAGCGGCCTAGGGTTTGGACCCTTGCGGTGGGAGTCAATGAACTTCTTGAGATCGGTGTCGAGGTACTCGAAGACAAGGTAGAGGAGGGGCTTGCCGTCCTTGCCGTCGACGTGTTCGACACAAAGGAGGCGGACGACGTAGAGAGACTGAGAGAGCATCTGGAGAAGGGAGACCTCACGCAGAGCCGTTGGGGGCACGCCCTCCTCGTCCATCTCCAGCCGCGTCTTCTTCAGCGCCACCACCTGACCCGTCGCCTTCTCCATCGCCTTGTAGACCTTGCCGTAAGTACCCTCGCCGACCTTCTCCAGCTTCTCGTACTTTTCCATTGCGAAAATGATGGAATCTGAGAAAAAAAAACACACCTGTGCTTTCCTCTATTGATTGTTGTTGTTGACAAGCTTTGAATTTTGAAATTCACATCGGCATTCCCGCCGAGTACACGCCGACAGTGGCTGTGATGGATGGTGAGGATTGCAAATTGGGCCCAATACCAATTACAAGAAGCCCAACTTTAACATAACGGGAAATTGGGCCCAATACAAATTACAAGAAGCCCAACTTTAACATAACGGGAAATTTTTACATCTACTTACCTTTTTTAGTTAATTGCAAAATTACTAATCAAACAAAAAAATTTGTGTATTTACCTAAGAGATAAAAAGATATTATATTAATGCCTAAATAAAATCGTTACCTGTGTGATGAAACGGTTTCCATATTTTTAGGGGGCACAATCTCAAGCGGTTAATATGGAAACGATATTAAAATTGAAATTTAAATGCATATTCATCGCTGAACACACAGCGGAAAAGAGAGTATGGCGGACGGCAATGAGATTCAATTGAAACACCAACTCCGTTTATCGAAAAAAAAAGTGTTTTGGAGATCAGGTTTCCCGATTTCAGAAAAAAAAATTGGACTGGAGAGATCTTTGGAGGTATATTTTCGTGATATTTGGAGGTATATTTCTTTGAATTCGAAAAAGATGTTAATTTGTTTTTTTTTAGATGGATCTGAATATGATGATCTTCATATATCATGGTGGTGAATGGGTCGTGAATGAGTACGTGAATTACCAACTATCAGGTGTTGTGATTCGAAAAGAAAGCAGCTACGACGAATTATGCGGTATATTGTGTGCAGAACTATGGTTGATACGTCAATCAACTGTGCTCGACCTAAAATATAAGTTGAAGGAAGGTAGTCCACTAATGTCGATAAACAGCGATAGCAGCCTTGGCTTCTATGTGTTTTCGGTGTCCAAAGAGGCCGACTACACCAAATATTCGGTGTGTGTTGTGGTGAAATCTTGGAGTAGTGTTGAAAATTCGTTTGATGAAGATGTGCATATATGTTCGTTGAATTGCGAATCAAATATTGCTCCACTCGCTTATCCAAAGCTTGACAGATATCCTGATAAAGCAGATGGCACGATAAATTTCTTGTCGTTCGCGAGGAACGTGGCTGAAGAGATGGTAGAAGTGGCAGCATATACCGAAAATATACTGGACATATACCCTGGATCTGAAAATCGGTTGACAGACGAGCAAAATTTTGACTCTGGTATTGTTCCTGGTATTTTACTAAAGGATAAGGAAACCTTACAGACGATGCTGACAATGCATTCTATAAAGCATCAGTATCAATTCAAGGTTGACAAGTCATGCTCCAAACAATATTATGTTAGGTGTATCTAAGTTATATTATGTTATATCTAACGTGTTCTGTATATCTAAGTTATATTCTTTTATATTTAACTTATACTTATATATCTAAGTTATTCTATGTTATATCTAACTTACAATCTTTTTTATCTAACACTTTTAATGTTATGTCAGGTGTTTGTCGAGCGATTGTACATGGTTTGTGAAAGCTTCACGTGTGGGTCGGTCAAACACCTTTAAGATAAGACACGTAGGGACTGAACATATATGTGGTTTGGATGTGAGAACTAGTAGTCAGAGACAAGCGACATCAACCTTTGTTAGTAGTTTCATCAAGACAAAATTCACTAACAATAAAACTGCATATAATCCGGGTGATATCATTGATGACATGCAAAATCGGTTTGGGATAAACTTGACATATCACAAAGCATGGAGGTCGAAACGCAGGGCTGTTGATGAAGTTCGTGGCAAGGTTGATGAGTCATACGATTATGCTCATCAATATCTTAGTAAGGGACGTGCATCAAACCCAGGTAGCATTGTGCTGATGCGCACCACATGGGATAAGAATTTCATGTACGTTTTCATGGCACTCGGTGCATCTGTAAAAGGATGGGTATATTGTCGACCAATCGTTATTGTTGATGGGACATTTTTGTCGTCGGTGTATGGAGGAATTTTATTGATAGCCTCTTGTCAAGATGCAAATTCTCATATATTGCCGCTTGCATTTAGCGTTGTTGACTCCGAAAATAACAACTCCTATGTCCGGTTTTTCACCAAATTGCAAGAAGTAGTTGGTGATGGGGATGGTCTTTGCATTGTCTCAGATGGTCACGAAAGCATAAGGCACGCAGTAGAAAAGGTTAGTAGTAGATCTTCTCAAAAAAAAAAAAATTCCACAGAAATATATCTTCCCAGTAATTGGTATTTTTTTAGTAACAGTTGGGTAATTGTGTCTATGACATATAATACATCTTCCCAAATTATTTTTTTCCACAGAAATATATCTTCCCAGTAATTGGTATATTTTTAGTAACATTTGGGTAATTGTGTCTATGACATATAATATATTCACCATCGATATTTTATTTTTTCGTTTTTTTCTTTTTAATAATATCTTCTCCAGCTAGTAGTATATGTTCAGTAACATTGTAGGTTTTATTTTTTATATGTATTTATCTTTACAAATTTTTAATCTGCAATGGATTTTATTAGTTTCTTTGAATATCTCTGAAATGTTATAATTAATTTATATAGGTATTCCCTAATTCGGCGCATTGTCTGTGCACGTATCACATCTCAAACAAATTGAAGATTCGTTATAAGACCGAAGCACAGGCAGTGAAGGAGGAGTTTTATGCAGCAGCGAGTGCCTATACATTAGAGGAGTTCGATAAGCATATAGTACAGATAAATAAGTTGAATCCTCATGTGGTACCATATCTAGAAGAAATTAGATTTCACAAGTGAGCAAGGGTTCACTGTCCCAGTAATAGATATTTTACCATGACATCTAACGCTGCAGAGTCAATAAATGCTGCCATACGATCCGTCCGTGATCTACCGATAACACCACTACTAGAGGCGCTTAGAGATATGCAACAAAGGTGGAATGTGGCAAATAGAGATGAAGCAAAGGCCACTTTTACTCCTCTTGCAAAGAAGCCACATAGGTGGTTGGAAAAGAATTACCAAATGGCAGCAAGATATTCGGTGAGTTGTTAATTATATTTAGTATTTTTATTAATGAATTATAGCCGGTTATATACTATACATATACTGGCAACTGTTACCGATTATATATTTATGCATATACTAGTATGTACAACACATACACATGCTGTAATCCCACCTGGTATGAATGATTATATACTATATACATAATATTATGCAACAAGGGTGCACATATTATGTTTGTATTGTTTGTGGGATTTTCTTTTATTTTTTTCATTTTTTTGTGTGTATTATTGTATAATGTTCATGTCATATACCAACAAATATAAATAAATATATACTAATATGTGCAACAGGTACAAAAATCCAATGACAAAGTGTATAAAGTGATGGTTGATGGTAAGGCATTTATAGTAGACATTGAATCAAAGACTTGCACGTGCCACCATTTTCAAGTTGATGAGCTGCCGTGTCCGCATGCTATACGTGTGATCAAGTCACTCCACCTGGATCTGGTCCCATTATGTTCTGATTACTACTTAACCTCTTCTATGTTGGCAACTTATGAAGAAGTTGTAATACCAATAGAAGGTAATCAAGCCTTCAAATTTGATGCACCGTCTATCCCTAGATTGGTAAATCCCCCAGTTGGAAGAGTGAGGCCAGGGAGACCACGCAAACAACGATTCAAGTCAGGATGGGAGCATAGATCATAAAATAGATGCAACATGTGTCATGAGAAAGGGCACAATGTGAAAACTTGTCGTAATCCAATATGATGAAATCCGTAGCACTACCATGTATGTTATGAATTGTTTTTAAGTTGATTGTTGCTTCCTATTATTACTTGTTATTTTCTTATTGTAGTTATTGCATCTTTGTAAATGCAAAAATGAACATTGGATATACCGTGCATATAACTGTGAGAAATCGACTGAACATTGGATATACTACGCATATACAGAACATATACGAATTAAAAATGTATTTCAAAGGATATACCGCACATGTACCAAACGTAAGACACACATATGCCAAACATATACAAAACATATACCAACCAATTGCAAAAACATATACCTTGGATCTGAAAATATACGCAAAAATATTGGACATATACACTAGATTTGAAAATCGGTTGCCAAACATATACCAAGAATATACCAAACTTATGCCACATATATCCTAAACAAAAAAAAAGGTAAGCTGTTCAT